TTGGCTGGCGGGGAGCAGGACTGACCCAGGCACACGCAGATCCCGGGGCACTACCCATCCCGCGCACGGTCCCAGTGAAGCACCAGCACGTGCGTGTCTACCAGCCAGGCAGTTGGCAACTAGATACTGATACTCCTAATAATAATAAAACTTACGTAATTAGAAAATACTGGACATTTTCTACGTCCTGTATTTTCTTAATTTTTTTCCCCGGCCAGAACTGACCCAGGCACACGCAGATCCCGGGGCACTACCCATCCCGCGCACGGTCCCAGTGAAGCACCAGCACGTGCGTGTCTACCAGCCAGGCAGTTGGCAACTAGATACTGATACTCCTAATAATAATAAAACTTACGTAATTAGAAAATACTGGACATTTTCTACGTCCTGTATTTTCTTAATTTTTTTCCCCGGCCAGAACCCTCAAGTACCGGACTGTCTGGTTCAAAACCGGACCTGGCAACACTAAAGCCACCGGATCTGGCCCACGGAGGCAATGGGGAGCCCCAGGCAGGCTCCCCTGCTTGCCCCACATGCTGCGCAGAAATGTGACCGTGGGGCGCTTTCTCTTTGAGTCCAGAAGGGAGAAGGAAGAGTCAGACGCTACTCCCGCCCTCAGCATAATCCCATTGGCTGGTTTCTAGACAGGCACTGGCCAATGGGAGCTGCCTCCTGCTCGCTCACTCACTCAAGCAGGTGGCAGAGCAGGCAGAAACATTTTAAGCTCTTGCAAACCTTTAGCTCTGCAGGCAGGCTGGTAAGTCTCCTAGTGAGAACCTGCCTCTGGCACCTCAGCTCCTCCCTTCCCCAACCCTCTGCCCCACGCTTCTGTCCCGCTACTCCACATGCACCCAAACCCCCTCCCAGATCTGGCACCCCAGTCTCCTGCCTGAGATCACAATCCCCTCCTACCCTAGGTCACATGCCAAAACCCTAGGTCAAAACTGCCTCCTTTGCCCGAACTCCCTCCCCAACCCCATTCTCCCTCCTGCACCCCAATCCCTTCTGCACCCAGCCTGCATCCCAGACCTCGCTCGTCCTTATTAATACTATGGAAGAGTGAGGCCCTCAACCACTTTCCAAAATCTTGGGAGTGGCTCCCCAACAAAAATTTGCCCACCCAAATAGCCAGAGCATGGTGTGTTCTAGCCCCCCTAGGAGTATGCTCAGGCTCCAAGAGTGGGTGGGTGTGGCAGTTAATAAATGTCACACACCAAAGCCCAGGAGATGCCATCATGGCTAGGACACACTGGGCTCTGATAGTCTCAGATAGGTGTTCGCCCATTAGCAACCTCTTGTGTAAACCCTTTTCCTGCGCTCGGTGCATCTCAACCAGACTGCTCTTTGGGTCCCATGTTCTCCCTGCTCATAGCCAGCCTTGGGCACTGAAGTGTGACCTCCAGCCAGGGCATTTCCACAGGAGCCCTTCCTAGCTGGTTCCCCAAGGCCGCCGGAGTATTCGCTGAGAACAGTGCGCTGCTCCCAGGAGTTAGTGTTTTCTTAAAGGCCTAGCTCCCTCTGCCTATGGGAGAGGCTCCGCTTGCACTGAAAGAACAAGGCCTTTCCCAGTCCTTGGTGCGCAGAGAAAAGCTGGGGGGGAAAAGTACTGCCTAGAAGGTCAGATGCCGGCAGGCAAAGAAAGAGCCCCAAACGTATCAGAGGGTTCATTCCTCATGCAGGCCAAGCTCTATGTTACCCAGCTTGTTATGGTCCCGGCTTGGGTTGTGGGGAGCTGGTCTGAGAGGTCTGGCTGAAGGAGCTGGCCCAGGGGGAGGCAGGACTCACAGGGAAATGTCACTGTTCCAGACCCACCCATTTTAGGGGTGGGCAGCGCTAGATAAATAAATAAGGGGGGGAGTGTAGCCCCAGATGGGTTAATGTGCATCCCAGCATCCTCAGCCCCAGTGAAGGCAGAGTGTAGCGAAGAGCAGCCCATGCGGGTAGAAGGGGATGGTCTTTACCCAGAGGGGCAGTTGGGTCGTGTCTGGCCTGTCCCTTTGCTGGGCGGTGCACCTGCCTCTGAGTGACTGGTTCTCCCCTGTCTGGCAGAGGAAAGTAACATGCTGGCTGAGAAGGAGGTCCTGGCCAGCCTCATCTCCATCCAGAGCAAGTACGCTTACTTCCAGCCCCGCATCCTGACCGAACTGGAGCACGACGACCCCAAGAGCGTCCGTGAGATCTTCCTGCGTGGTGAGATGCTCAGCTAGGGCCCTGGGATCTCGCCGAATGGCCCCTCCTAGCACCATGAAATACGAAGGGGGAGCCGGGGGAGACTGATTCAAACCGGAGGCTGGCAGTCATGCGGGGCGCTGCCGCTGCCACTGTCTCCTCTCTCATCAAAGGTTTTCTGAAAGTCCAGGTACACTCTATCCACTAGCTCACCCTTGTCCACGTGCTTGTCAGACCCCTCAAAGACTTCTAACAGGTGGTGAGGCAAAAGCTGTATTGATTCTCCCCAACATCATATCATGCTCATCTGTGTGTGAATTTGGTTCTTTTCCTGAATTGGAACCAATTTGCCTGGTACTGAAGTTAGTTACTGGCCTGTAATTGACATGATTGCCTTTTTTTAAAAGCATCGGCCCTACAAGAACCCAGGCAGCTATCCGTCCATGTCAAACTGGCACTCATACTGGTCCAAGAGCTCAGTAAGCTGAGCACTTGGGCGGTCCCCCAGGAGAGATTCGGGTGCCACTCAGCTGATTAGCAGAGCACCCACAGCCGGCAGCCTTGTTTCTACTGGTGGTGCACACCCACAATGCCTCAGTGCACATAAAATTTATTCTGCATGCAGATGGAAAAAATTAGAGGGAATATTGCCCAGGTGCCAAAGGCTTTCCTGAGGGCTGGGATGAGGGGTCATATTCTGACTGTTCTTCCCTTCGGTAAAACAGTCAATCTCTGTTTGTCTCTGGCAGGCTGGAAAATCGAAGAGAAAATGCTGGGTGTTTTCAGCAAGTGTCTGCCTGCCCTTGCCAATCTGCAGGCTATTCAGTGAGTGAGGGGCTGGGCCGTGCCAGGAGCTGTTTGGCTGAAGGGGCCCAGAGACGGGCAAGGAAAATACAATGCAATTTCAGCTCCCTAACTCCTCAGGATCCAAACCTCCCTCTAATGCATTTTGCTGCCTCCCAGAACATTGGCTCCTGCTTCTCTGAGATCCTGATCTTGCGGCCCCAATTGGGCCACTTTAGACCTAAAATCTAAAGGGCCCAGCTGGCACTTTAAAATGCATAGTTAGTTTGGGGACCCCCAAAACACCAGGACTCAGATTCTGGGATCCACTTGCACTGGCTTTCGAAGAGTGGGTGTTGGTGAAGAGATTTGAGCATGGGCCATGCCGTGGACTCGCTTTGTGACCTGGGGCAACGCCTCTCCCTTCTCAGTGCCTCAGTTTCCCCCTCTGGGGTGAGACTGCTTTGCGATCTTTCACAGCTGCCTCTAAGGCTCCTGTGTCTCCTTTCAGCCTCTGGAAGGTCGGCCTGACGGATCTCACACTCCTCTCTCTGCTCGCTATCCTGCCAAACTGCCCCACTCTCAGGTAAGTGAGAGCTAAGCCCCAGAGATGGGGCCACTTGGACAGCGCGGGAGGCAGCTGCTTCCACCGTTTCCCGTCTCAGAAGGGAGGCCCCATTTCTTTTTCAATGGTAGCATGACGGCCCTGGAAGGAGCCAGTGAGATGTGACCAGAAGGCAGGCCCAAGTGGGGTGCCTGCTGCTTACCTCAACTCCCCCCATCTTTTCAGTGTGACCCTAATCTGCACTTGCCCTTCTAGGCTGTTAAGCAGTGATTCTTTGTTGCTGTGAAACAGCTGCCCTGGTCTACTCCAGAGGTGGCTGCATTTCAGCAGGTTCAGTGACTCCTCTGTCGCCTTGGCTGGTTTCTGCTTTTCCTTACAGGACACTAACCCTGGAGGGGAACCCATTAGCCGAGGGGTCCTTCTACAAGCTGATTGAGGAGGAGAGCACGTGAGTTCCTGCCGAACTAGGGGCCCCCGGAGAGTGCCCTCTAGTTAAGCGCTTTTGGGGCAGAGAAGGGGTTTTCCAGACCACTGGAGAGCACGTTACTGCATCTGCACTGGGGGTGAGGGCAGGATCCTGGGGATAATCTGAGAGGGAGCAGGGAGGAGGGCTGTGCGATGCTCTTCTCCGACTCCACTGCAGCCTTCTCCTAAACAAAGCCCTCGGCCCCGGGCCTGCCAGCATGGTGCCCACGCAGAGTCCAGCTCCTTCCCTCCTGCCCTTCCTCGGCCCAGGCCCAGCGTGGCTGGGATCGGTGCTGGAGAGCCCCCTCCCCACTGCCAAGGTGACTCTTTCCTTTCCCGGACAGCAGGATAGTCTGACCAGATCCAATCGGAAACTGACGTCTTCTCCCTGAATGGCCCCGCAGGCTGGCTCACCTGTCGCTGAGAAACAATAACATCGACGACGCCCACGCCAAGCTGATCGGCCAAGCCCTCTCCTCGCTGACGTCCTGCAACAAGAGTTTGGTGTCGCTGAACCTCAGCTTCAATCACATCACGGACCTGGGGGCCGGCTACCTCGCCGAGGTGAGGACGCAGGGACGAGCGCGTGACATGGGGGCATGAGCCGCTTCAGAGCATTATAGCGGGGACAGGTGTTTGCCACTAGGGCAGTCATGCCTGGATCTTCTGCCCAGGAAAGAGGGGGGCATGTGATGCAGGATGGTGCCTTGTGGGTACAGCCCTGCCCTTGGACTCAGGAGAGGCGGGGGCCAAACCTAGCCCTGCTGCTAGCTTTTTCAAACCAATCCAAGCCCGGCTCCGTCGTAGATGGCACTGAGGAGCCTTTACTGGCTGGGGATGCAAAGGGAAGGCGAAGAAATTGAACTGCGCAGGGCGGAGCTTTGCATGTTCTCCTGCCAGTCCAGTCCAATCCAGGATGCGAGATCCACCCACTGCGTAGCCCTGGGCGTTCCCGGAGCCCAGCTCAGGCTGAGCCCGGGCAGTGATCTCTCAAAAGGATGGGCTGGGCTGGGCTGTGGAAAGACAAACTCCCCTTCGGCGTGGGCACTGGGCTCTGCGGGAGGAGCTGGAATGGGAGGCTGGCCTGGCCGGAGGGCGGGTTTGGACTGTCACTGCTCGTGCCTGGCGACGTTTTCCTTTCCTTCCATGGCTGCCTCTGGCCCCTCCCCCCCGAGACCAGGGGGCGCTCAAACTCGCAGAGGTGAGTCCAGGGAAAGGCCTTTGCTCTTTAGCCCAGGAGGTGGCGGAGCCCTTTAAAAACCTCTCCGCCCTGTGCACTGCCCATTGCTCCTGCCCTTTCCAGCATCAGGAAAGGACTCTGAGCTGTGCGCCGGGAGCTCTGTCTCTGGAGGCCAGGGGATGTGGCTCTTCAAAGAGCTTTTCTCCCACCCACCACAAGGCATTTGAGTTGAACGTGTGCTCACAGTTGCAAGCAGCCGAAGTCCCAGGCTCCCCTGGCACAGTGACTCCAATAGCCCGCACTCCCAGCTCGCCAGCTGTCCACAGAGTCAGCCAGCTGGATTTCTAAAGTGTAAAACTCTTCTTCAGCCCTCAGCCAAGAGCAGAAGTGCAGCTCTTCTCCCCGCTCCAGCTCTGCTCTAACGCAGCCCAGGCATGACCTGCACCAGGATGCTCCGGGGCGGATCCCCTGAGAGTCTGCTGCCTGCCCCATGCCCGTTTGGTCCTGGGTCCCAGCCACTTCCCCCCGTGCGAAGGACTCAAAAGAGTCAACTCCATGGGCCCACCCCACCACTTCCCTTTAAGTGCAGGACCCAAGCTGGGAAATTCGGGCCTGATCCTGATTGGCTGAGCATGCTCAGTGGGCGCCCAGCACCTCTGTGCCTCAGGCTGCTGTAACATCGGCGAGCTCGGTCGGGGTCACAGAAGTGACAGGGATGGAAGTGCCAAGACCCCAGGGTGGGATAAGCTACTGTCAAGAGAGACTTTGCAACACTGACTCCGCCGTCGCTTTGGGTTAGGTTCTGGGGCCTTTCGCTTTAACTCACACCGAAGTTGTGGAGCGGAGGCGACTCCTACTGGAGAAGGAATCCCAGGAGCGGTCCCGGTCGGTAAGGTCACCGCCAGGCTGTGTGCACCCCCCGGAGGGCGACAGAGTTCACCCCAGTTCACACCAAGGGCTCTGGGGGGGGGTTAGCGACTGATCTCTTTCCCGCAGGCCAAACTTCATGATAAACTCCGAGCCGCATGGACCAGGGCCCGGAGGGTAATAAAATTTACCCTGGTGTGTGCTGTATCCCCCCCTACTTTCAGAGCCACCTGGAGGATAACAGCTACTATTGCTACTGCCTCGCACCATCAGCTCACATTGTAATCTGAGAGTCCTCTGCTCCAATGCCCCATGCTGGGAGCGGTTAGCTCGACTTAGTCCCGAAGGCAGTGAATGTAGAGCAGCCGATGGTGTCAATATCTGGACTAAAGTCCCTCTGGGTCTGTTCCAGCCTCCGAGACATGCCGAAGCCAAAAGCAGCGACCGTCCCTCGAGCCTCGTCAGCAGCACCACTATCGACAAGCTGCAGTCAGCCAAACTGAGCAAGAGCGCCTCCAAGAAAAAGGTGAGGGGTGTGGACCGGACCGGGCTGGGCACCCAACTCTTCGCAGGGACTCTGGGATCCAGGCTCGTCCATGGTCTCTGGGAGCAAAGGGTCAGCCCCACAGGGAGCAGCTCCCAAAGATCCTCCGCTTAGTAAGGACTCGGGGGGAGAGGCTCCCTGCGTGTGGTGAAAATCCCTTAAGGACTCCTGGGTTCTCGTTTCATTTCTGAAGTGGGTGTGGGAGCTTGTGGCTAGAGCAGAGCCTTGGGGGTCAGGACTCCTGGGTTCTTTTCCCAGCTCTGCCCTTGGGCTTTCCTGTCCCTTCTTCTTTCACCCAGGGCTGTGCGGGGTTGGGCGCTGGTTGTGCTGCACAAGGCTGGGGGGGAAGGGCCAAAGGCAGGCCTGGAGAGGAGCCGGAAACAGCAACAGGTACAGGAGACCTTCGTGGGTCTCTCCCATCCCCAAGCTCCGCCCCTTCCTACCACCACTCTGCTCTTTTGTACCCCATCCCCTAGCCTGGGGGGGGGGATGTGGCCTCAGGGCAGCCTGCTGCAGCAGCAGTCGGGGCCCCCTCCCACACTCCCCGCGGCA